AAATTAAGTACTTTTGAGCATAAGAGACTTTAAATGGTATATGCAAATAAAGCTTGCTGTCTGAATTCCCCCTGACGGGAACCTGTCTCCAGCTGTGTTCCAGTAGGGAGGGATGGATAGAGGGATGTAATGGTAGCTCTTGTCCTTGTGAGAAGAGTCGGTCAGGGCAGGGGTGGAAACAGCACACTTAAGCATTGTTGTCAGGCAGTAATAACATAGTTCCTGTGTTAATCGCTGTGGGTGGAGAGGCAGCCATTATGTTCTTCTCAACAGTATAGTCGCTACTCACATGACACGCAGAACCACACACACACGCACACACACTCATTCTCACTCACTGTGTGTTTGTGTGCCTTCCCTAAAGGTCCTGGCTTAATGTGCTCTACATGACCGACCTTTACTGTCAACAGAGTGCCACAGCAGTCATTACAGAATAGCCATTTCACACATACATACACACACACATTCACCTCTCATGTGCCATGCAAAGAGAGACACCTCACGCAATATGAGTTTTCCCCCTGCAGTGATCCAGCCAGAGGGAAGATCAGCAGATGAGCCCTCACAGCCCCTTAAAAAACATGGAAGGTCACCTGTGTCTCTAAACACACACCATCTACACACTCTCTATCTCTCTTTCAGTGATTGCCTTGTGCTCTCTGTAGGGATGCACTGAAATGAAAATTCTGGGCCGAAATTCAGGATGCACTTGGCAGAAAACCAAAACTAAATAGTAAGTTAATAATCAATGAATTAACCAAACTTATTTAATAGTCAACATTCAAATAACTAAAACTGAGTTGAACAAACAAGTGCACACAAGGCAGTTTGTATATAAACTTTTTAATAGCAGAATTGTTTCTACTCCTAATCTTTCAACATTTCTTCTGGTGTTCAGCCACGTTTGTAGTAAAGAGTGCTGTAGTAAAGAGGAGATGAGAAGATCGGTTGACATGTGCTTGATCGCTTGAACTGTCAATCTGATCTGTCATGCCATAATAAAGTGCACCAAAACACCAAAACATCGACAACATTGTTGAGACCCCCTGTGATGAAAATCAAATTTTTAATGTTGTTTATGTCTATGTGGTGTTTTTAAAATGCTTTAAGGCAAATCATGAGCAAATTGACGTCAACATCATTGCTCAGTGTTTTTTCCTTAAGACTGCAGTGAAAAAAAGACAGTTTAAAAAATGCGGTTTGAAATCACAGGTTTTTCTTACGTCACAAACCACCTTGTAACCGATCACATCCGGTCCGTGTGGGCGGGCTTTAGCATATCATTAACTATTCTCTGAAGCAGTGGAGTGTCAAGAGAAGCCGGGTTATCCCAGTATATTTTTTGTTGATATGAAAAATCATGTACATTTAGCAAAGAATTATAGTGGGTGAATTATCTATATTATATATATTATAAGGTTTTGATGAACTATATTCACTGACGTTCTGAGTTGTTCAAAGCGTTAGCGTTTGTAAGGATGCTGATTTTTTGAAGGCAGCTGTCTGACTCTGAGATGGTGAACGGGAACATGGTTTGTGTAACTAGCAACACATTATTATTATTATTATCATCAACTGTTTGATAACGTAGACAGTCAAGCAAAAGGATAATCATATCAATTACCATTATGTGTCCAGCATCGTAGAGAGCAATACATGAAACACATTTCTATTCTGATACATCAACTTGTAGACGACCCTGTATGAGGACTAATTTGCATATTCATAAAACAGCGTGAAGCAAGGTGTAGAGTTACATTCAATTATTGACTACAGGGGGACTTTAAAAGTAACAAAGCTTTTTTGTGATTATTTGATGGCAGGTGCACTACAAATGTTTAGTGAAGTTTTGTTCACGCTGCAAATCAACAGAAAACAGCACAGACTAAAAGAAGTTAGATTTAAAGGGATACTCCACCCAAAAAGTTGTTGCAAACCTGTATGAGTTTCTTTCTTCTGATGAACACAAAGGAAGATATTTTGAAGAACTTGAAACAGGTTTGAAGAGGTTTGAAACAACTTGAGGGTGAGTAAATGATGACAGAATTTTCATTTTTGGGTGGAGTGTCCCTTTAAGAAACCATATCATTACTGAGTAAAATCGATATATTAATATTGATGTCAATCCAGAGCTAGTGTCCACACAGCTGAAATGTTTAACTGTTGTAGCCTATCCACATTGTGTGCACGAAATAGACACAGAACACAATCAAAACATGCCATCGATGAAACGCTAATTAAACATGTTTCGGTCACTGATTTTGGCCCTCCAAAACCATTTCGGTATTTTCGGTAGCCAAAATGTTGGTGCACTATAGCTTTCAGAAAACTTTTCCTCAATTTATTATGAAATAAAACCTAAATGAGGAAAAAAGTAAAAGATATACATTATATTTATACAAGTAGTTGTTAAGAAGGACATGAGAAAGCACAGTGCGTGATTTGGGGACTTGAGCACATAATGATGGTCTTCATTAGGACTGAGGGGGTAAAGAGGGTCAAAGGTAGGGTTGGGTACCGAAACTCGGTGCCAATAGGGAACCGGTTCCGACGTAAACGGTAGTAACCAGACCGAATAAGAACGAAAATTCCGGTGCCTGATTTCGGTGCCTAACTTCATCCATCTGCTCCTCAGATTTCTTTGCCGAAAAAGGAAGCTGGTCGGCAGCGCGAGGAGCTTGGCAGCGTCTCGTTCCCTATTGAGAGATATGTTACACCAGTAACCAGAGATGTTCTCTTTCATAGGTTCACTCAACGCTGCGTAGCTAAGAAGCAGTGGATTTGTAGGCTGCTGTCACGTGCCGTTTGAACTGACGCGCTACAGCGATCTGTCACATTTCAAAGAGCCAAAACGTTATTTATTGTGTGAATCTCGTAAAAATATTGACAGAATCTGACAGCTGTGGATTTGTTCCATATCAAAAGTAACCTTCTCTGTCTTGTCTGTCCGTGTCCTCTTTGTCCGCGATTTTTCTGTGTGAAAAGGGTCATTTGCGTGAGTCTCACGGTCAATGCGTGAGAGTTGGCAGCTCTGCCTGCTAGTAATCTCTATTAATCTCCAGTATTATTACATTGTTTGATACAATATTGTTTCATTTGATATTATGTAAATATGAATTTTTATTTTATATTGGTTTTATTATTACCATATGTTACTTGTATTTATATTGTTTAAAGATTTAAGTTAATATTGTGTCCAGTTTGGCCCTGTAAATTAAAGGGTATTATTTTTTGATAAAGTGTGTGCGGTTTCATTTTCTTAAGGACCGATTTAAGAACCGTTTAAGCACCGGAACCGTTTAAAAAATACCGAGTAGGTACTGGAATCGGATAAAACCCAAACGATACCCAACCCTAGTCAAAGGTGAGCTCCAGTGGTCCAGACTCATTAAAGCCTCTCAATGCTATTGAGCTGACTGCCGTAAGCATGAGTGAGCAGGACCATTCGAGGGAGCAAGCAAGGCCATTTCATTTCATTTTACCGTTAAAGGGGTCATGAACTGAATCTTTCTTTTCTTTTACAATGTTCTCTGAGGTCCACTTATAATGTTACGATTTTTACGTAAAAAAAACATCCTGATTTAGTTTTAATAGGCTATTTACTGCTATTTCTGCTATCATTTGCCAACAATATAAAACATGTATGAGTATACATATGCTTTATAAGTCTTGGTTGTGGTAAAGGATGATAATGGTTGACTTATCCTTTTTGGTTTATCATCCTTTTCGATAAAGTGAAAAACATAGGCCTGCATTGTAATTTGCAGTGTTGCATTTTAACGTGTTGTCTTACTGATAACAAAACAGAAGATGATGCTCTACTGAAGCTTTTATTCAGGATTATAGCGAATGGATTAGATCAAAACAACAATAAAAGTGGCGTTCTCTACGTGCTTTCTTCCGATAAGCCAATGCATTAACCCCATAAATACCAAAGCAAAGGAAAAAACAGCAAATCACAACTACATTCACAGTTTTGTGTTGCCACATTACTGTCAGATCCAATATAGGCAATGCATCATCTTTTATTTTCAGTCTCTCTGAAAAGCCTGTGTCGAACTGCGTCTAGTTTAAAAACGTATCCGCCGTATAAAAAAAAAGTGAACAAATGAACAGTTTAACTTATGCGATCCGACTGGAACTTCGTTAAAAATAAAGTTAATCCATGTTAGGATCATTAGGATGGCAATTTAAAGACTGTGTTTTTCCACAACTTGGCACTTCAAAACTTCTTGTAATCCTCAGAGGCATCTCTATCGTTTTGGTGCTGGAGAAATCCTGTGTTTGCGTCCCTCTCGTATTTACTACTACATGACATGAACGAATTGGTGGGCGGGAGCTAAAGAGGTAATGATGTAGAAGTAGGCGTTGATCTTCTTCTGCAGAGGCGATCTTTCGTCACACTATGATGTAATAATGTAACAAAATCCAAAATGAGTCGTTTTCTGAGCTTGGTTTCAATAAAAGCTGTTTTGGGACTAACAAGGAAGTTTTAAGTTCTGAAACTTACAGGATATTTTTTATAGTACCATAGCTTCTTATATGTCAAATAATTCATCAAAATATTATATTGAAAATTCATGACCCCTTTAAAGAGAGCAGAAATCAAATGTGGGACTCTTAAAGCCACTGTATACTGATGACCAAGTCAAATGAAAATACTTTTCTTTCTTGTGTGCCTGTATTTTAAAACAAAAGAGGGTAGATATCTCTCTAAATACTGAGTGTGTATGGTGTGTAAGAGAGTGGAAATGACATGACAGGTCCATCATCATTTACAAAAACACAAACCACAGTGTCTGTCAGCCTGGGGCAGGTCTGATGCTTGTTGAAAAAAAACGCAAATGGATGGAACAAATGCTTTTACAGGTAATTTGTACATAGATAGTTTTTCATATGCACCATTTCACAAGGTTATCTGGAGCCTGTTAAACAATCAATACACAAAAAAGGGCCTAAAACAGTACCAATATAGTGTGACTATGCCAGTTAGCACTCACCTGCTTTCTCTGCTACACAGTTTATCTTCTGTTAAATGAGATTGTGGCAGTGTCTTCCTCTTATGCAGCAGATCAGGTGTGATCGCCGTACCAGGTCTGGCTGCAGACGTCAAGTTTAAGCGGTCCTGATGCTGCAGTATTTAAGCCTTGGTTGAAATCCACTTGTCCCAGGGAACAGGGGCTGGGAAACGATGAGCTCTGAGCTGTAGATAAAAGATGATGGGAGAAAGAGAGACAGTTAAAGAGCTGGCACAACTTCTGAATAATGTTGTTTGCAGTGCTGCAAAACCCACTTGGTTTTCTTAATTAGCCTGAATCTAAATAAGGTGGCAGACTTGGCATTAAGGAGCTGCTGACAGGCAAAGCCGGAACGATGAAAGAGTATGGGGAGTATGAAGTTAAAGGGAGAAACTGAACACAGACTTTATCACTCTTTTATTTTGTACTTTGAACTAGGCTAAGGGTCTTCAACAGGGGGTCCAACAATTGTTTGATCGCTAACAAATTTCTGTTAAAAATAATAAATTCTCTGTACGTTACGACGACTATTTCAATGGCTTTGCAATGTACGCATCACAACAAAGTATGTAAATACATATAAATTATACTATATGCATGCTATTTTAGGCACACAATGCAAAACTACATTGTGTACTATATCATGGGGTTCTTGCTCTGAGTACTCGAAAAATACTTAAAAAACAATAAAATGTGGTACAAAACCAACACGTTCTCACTCCCAACTTGTCACATATTGATGCTTGATCAGGACCCCCTCTGCGTCACTTTTTAACACACAGGGTAAAACTTTAGTGTAAATATTCGACATGCAGGGTACTCCATTGTGTTCAGTTTTTTCGCCTTATGCGCAGATCAAGGTGCTTTTAATTCTTTGCATTTTTAAAAGTAAAATTTATTTTTTAGATATATTTAAACCCACTTCTCAACAATTATATAACACATAACAGGCAAAAAAAGGTATTCAAACAAATTTATTTCAAAAACTGACCAAAAAACTGTATTACAAACAACCCGTGTTGCATTAGAAGTCTTCTGAAGCCATACGATAATTTTATGAAGAACAAAGTGAAACTTAAGGTTTTAATCATCACTGAATATAGTCATATATCTCATTCAAAAGTGTAACGATCACCATGAGAGTGCCCGGGATAACCATCAGAGGGCACTCCAACCCGGACAATCACCACTAATTCACCACTAAGACTAATCAGCCATGATCACATTCACCTGTGTGTCCTTGTTTAGCTCACCCCATATAAGCCTGGTTTTCACATCCATTCCCTGCAAAGTCTTGTTTAGTGTTTATACTGCATTTCTGAGCGTGTTTGTATCCTGTTTCTCCTGTGTCCTGGTTACTTTGATTCTCTGTCTGTTCCCTTGGATTTCTCTCCTTGCCTCAGCCCTTTTCTGTTATTGTTTGGATTGCTTGTTTGTGTATGGCCCTTGCCTGGATTTGGATTACCCTTTCAAATAAATCCTGCATTTGGATCCTCAACCTTTGTGTCTCAGAGCAGTACGTGACAAAAAGATACACCCGAACATTAGAATGACGCAATAGGTCACGAGACACACGAGAGCCAATGCTAATTCTCTCAACGCTTCTTCGGGCAGCAATTTTGAATGTTATGACTGATGGAGACGTGATCACTTTTCCTCACACAAATCAATCGTTTGGCCTCTGAACACGTAATATTTGTATTTTTTTTATAAATTGTGACTGTAGTGATATCTGCTTATTTGGTGTTTATTTTATATTATACACAAATGGGTTTAGGGGTAGAGGTTGGGTTATATGCTCAAACATGGCAAATTGGTAGCAAAATGGCAAAATTACACCGCAAATTCATTTTGACAATAAAATTGCCTTGTATGTATGATGTGTGATGTACCCTGCACGTCAAAAAATTACAATAAAGTGATACCCTGTGCTTTAAAAAGCGTCAACATATGACAAAGTTGAGAGTTAGAATGTGTTGACAAAACAGAGCCAAGTAACACAATCAACATCATCAGTTACAAATCAGATCTCCAGACTCATTCCAGAAAGGCGAGAGCGATAAGAGACAGAAGATCATTGGAATATTTTGTAGAGACAGAATGAGGGATAAGTGTGGTGGAATGAGCCTGAGGAGATCAGTGCATTGGCTGACTGGTAGATGCTGTAATTTAACAAGCAAAAGTTCTGGTATTGGTATTGGAGAGGGAAGGTGGGAGAGAGAGGAATGATGGGGCATATCTTTCCATCAATCACACACCCAAATCAATGAGTCAGGCAACCGTGAGCAGAGTCAGAGGAGATGTAAAGATTCAGACCGGAGATGGATGTGGAATGAGAAAAGAAAGAAAGACAGAGACTTATCTGTATATATATGAGTACTTCTTTATGGTCATTGACTTCATTCAAGTAATGGTTATTCACATCCTGTTTAAGTTTAATTTTATTTGGTTTTATTTTAGTCCTATGTGAAAGGGCAAAGATTTTGTGAACAAATTCAAAACACATCACTTTTCCAAAAAATGGTTTCCAGATTTACCCACACTGACAGATAATTATTAAAATAAATACATTAGACATAAATACGTCAGAGTATTGAATGAGATTCAATGCTCTGATAAGCCATTTATTTTAGTTCTACATGCTATATTTTGTTTTTTAATTAATTTCTCATTTATTTATCTGTAGATTTTTTTACATTGTCCTTTTATTTTATCAGGGTAATAAAAAACCTTAGATGTCCACATTTATTCTAAGTCTTATTGCAAAACATTTTATTTTAGCTGAAAACCATGAACAAAAATCAACAGGCTAAAGAACACTTACACAAGAAACTTTTGTCTTTGGTTTAAAAATACCATATAGCAAAACCAACTAGCCTTACTAATATAAATTTCAAGCATTATTAAAGACAAGTAAATACAACGGAACAAAGACACGATTGAAATAAACAGTGTTCTCTTACGAGAGGTTCTCTCGTATTGCGTAAGCTAGCTTACGCTGCGGGAAAGATTCATCTTTGCTGAGAGTTTGAAGCCAAAAAATTATTTCATAATTTGTATCCATTGACAACGCAGTTCCTCTGCGGCAGACCTAGAGCAGGCTAGCTAGCAGCTCATTGGTTCGCTCAGAGAGAACTGCTTAAGCCTATGGGAGAGCGGGGCTGAACCCGCTTCCAATGAGAGGCGCCCGCGCGCTCATTGCATCATAGCCCGCCAGAATGGGCGTGGCTATGGTGTATATAACAGTCTCTCCCAGGCTTATATGTTGATTCTTTTCATCTTCAGCAAGCTGCACGCTTCTGCTGTCCTGAGAAAAGCCGTCGCCGTCGAGAAGGCATCACTCTAGCGAGCTCCCGGACCCTGAAGAAGCCGGCCGTCTTCGTCACCTTCAGCCGCCCTGCAAGCTAGCGCCATCCGACGACTGTTTCCTTCTTCTTTTCTCTATATCTAAAAGAGCCGAGCGTCTTTTTAAAGATGTCTCGTTTTTCCTGCGGCTCTTGCTCCTGCGGTCTCCTCTCGAGGACGGAGACCGCCATGTCATCTGCGCTCTCTGCCTGGGACTCGAGCACGCAGAACTCGCCCTCGCGGATGGAGGATGCGACTTCTGTGAGAGCCTGCCGTTGTCGTCCCTGCGGGCACGTCTTCTGGCAGCAAAATCCGCTCCCGCGCCGCCTCCCTCTTCGCCGCGTAAGAAGAAACGCCGCTCCCAGAGGCCGCCGGAGCCCCCTGCGGAACCATGCGGGCCGCCGCCGCCGCTTCCCGCTTCCCGCTCTCCCTCCCCGCCCCTGCCGGACATACAGTTGCCGCCGAGTGGCCGCTCTGTCGCTTCCGATGACGCCGCGGAGGAGAAGGATTCCTGTTCACTGCTCGCGTCAGACAGTGAGGAATGGTCATCTCTCGGATCCACAAAAGAGTCGGCGGGGATCCGCGCCGGGATAGAGGAGGAACTAATGCGCCTCCTCTCACAGGCCGTCGAACGCCTCGGTCTCGAGTGGTCTCCTCCACCCGAGCAGGCCCCGAACCGGATGGACGGCAGCTTAAAAAGCATCGGCGCTCGACCCCCGCGTGTAACCGGGCCGCCCCATTCCTGCCTGAACTTCACACAGAGCTGACGAAGTCCTGGAATGCCCCGCTCTCGGCTAGAAACCGCTCCGATATATCCGCCTCGCTGCGCTCGGTGGACGGAGCCGCCGAAAAAGGTTACTCAGCCATGCCGCCCGTTGAGGACTTGGTCGCCGCACACCTCTGCCCGCCCTCTGCTAGATGGCGCTCTTCCCCCACGCTTCCTTCGAAAGCTTGCAGAGCGACCTCGAGCTTTCATGCTCGCGCCTACGCCGCCGCCGGTCAGGCCGCCGCAGCGCTGCATTCTATGTCTGTCCTCCAAGTGCTACAGAGCGATATTCTCCGTGAGTGGGCCGAAAGCGGTAGAAACCCCTCCCCCGCTGTCACGGATCTGAGAAGTGCTACGGACCTCGCCCTTCGCGCCACTAAAGCCGCCGCACAAGCTCTGGGGAGATGCATGGCCAGCCTTTGTGTAGCCGAGAGACACTTATGGCTCACGCTCGCCGACATGGGAGATTCTGAGCGCGCCGCGTTTCTTAACGCGGCCCTCTCCCCGACGGGCCTTTTTGGATCTGCTGTCACGGGAATCGTCGATCGCTTTTCCGAGGTCCAGAAAGCCACTCAGGCTATGAATTTGTTTCTGCCCCGCCGCGCTAGCTCTTCCGCAGGCCGCTCTCGCGAGCCTCCTGCCAGAGCTCCACCACAGCGCCCCCCTCCGCAGACTCAAACAGCCCAGCGCAGACAGTGCGGCCGCCCTCGCTCTCGCTCTGACAGCCGCCGCAGACCGCCGCCCCCACGGGGCCCGCGACCCAAGATCACGCTGAAGCCTGATCATCAGAAGTCTGCCTAGCAAAGTTAAGAAAACGACGGTGCTCTCCCGCTGCGGCCGGACCGCCGTCAAAGCTTCGCCCTCTGCCAGTCCCCGTTGTTTCGCCGACTGCTGTAGTGTTGACCGCCACAAACAAGCCAGTGTCCCAGCCCGCTTGCGAGCGACAAAAAGCCGTTTTTACGGCTACCCAGAGAAATCTCAAAAAGAGAAAATTTGCCAGTTGTGTAGAAAATGTGCCCACAATCATGTGCTCACCCTTACACACAAGCATAACATATCCCGTGTCTCTCTCAG